GCTTTGTAGAATGCATTTCACTTCCATTTGATTTAAATTGCTTTGTTTGAATGTGTTTGACTTTCATTTGATTCAATTAGGTTTATTTGAATGTGTTTGACTTTCATTTTATACAATTAGCTTTGTCGAATGTATTTGACTTTTATTTTATTTAAATAGCTTTGTTTGAATGTGTTTGACATTAATTTGATTCAATTAGCTTTATAGAATGCATTTCCCTTTCCTTTGATTTAAATAGCTTTGTTTGAACGTGTTTGACTTTCATTTGATTCAAATAGCTTTGTTTGATTGTGTTTGACTTTCATTTGATTCAATTAGCTTTGTAGAATATATTTGATTTTCATTTGATTCAAATAGCTTTGTTTGAATGTGTTTGACTTTCATGTGATTCAATTAGCTTTGTAAAATGTATTTCACTTTCATTTGATTTAAATTGCTTTGTTTGAATGTGTTTGACTTTCATCTGATTCAATTAGCTTTGTAGATTGTATTTGACTTTCATTTGATTCAAATAGGTTTGTTAGAATGTGTTTGACTTTCATCTGATTCAATTAGCTTTGTAGAATGTATTTCACTTACATTTGATTCAAATAGCTTTGTTTGAATGTGTTTGACTTTCATTTGGTTCAAATAGCTTTATTTGAATGTGTTTCACTTTCAGTTGATACAATTAGCTTTGTACAATGTATTTGACTTTCATTTGATTCAAAAAGCTTTGTTTGAATGTGTTTGAATTTCATTTGATTCAATTAGATTTGTAGAATATATTTGACTTTCATTTGATGCAAATAGCTTTGTTTGAATGTGTTTGACTTTCATATGATTCAATTAGCTTTGTTTGAATGTGTTTGACTTTCATTTGATTCAATTAGCTTTGTAGAATATATTTGACTTTCATATGATGCAAATAGGTTTGTTTGAATTTGTTTGACTTTCATTTGATTCAATTAGCTTTGTAAAATATATTTGACTTTCATATGATGCAAATAGGTTTGTTTGAATGTGTTTGACTTTCATCTGATTCAATTAGCTTTGTAAAATGTATATGACTTTCATTCTACTCAAATAGGTTTGTTTGAATGTGTTTAACTTTAATTTGATTCAATTAGCTTTGTAGAATGCTTTCACTTTCATTTGATTTAAATAGCTTTGTTTGAACGTGTTTGACTCTCATTTGATTCAAATAGCTTTGATTGAACGTGTTTAACTTTCATTTGATTCAATTATCTTTGTAGAATGCTTTTCACTTTCATTTAATTCAAATAGCTTTGTTTGAATGTGTTTGACTTTCATAAGATTCAATTAGCTTTGTAGAATGTATTTGACTTTCATTTGATTCAAATAGCTTTGTTTGTATGTGTTTGACTTTCATCTGATTCAATTAGCTCTGTAGAATGTATTTTACTTTCATTTGATTCAAATAGCTTTGTTTGAATGTGTTTGACTTTCATTTGATGCAAATAAATTTGTTTGAATGTGTTTCACTTTCATTTCATTCAAATTAATTTGTAGAATGCATTTCACTTTCATTTCATTTAAATAGCTTTGTTTGAACGTGTTTTACATTTATTTGATTCAAATTGCTTTGTTTGAATGTGTTTAACTTTCATTTGATTCAATTAGCTTTGTAGAATGTATTTGACTTTCATTTGATTCAAATTAGCTTTGTAGAATGTATTTCACTTTCATTTGATTTAAATTGATTTGTTTGAATGTGTTTGACTTTCATCTGATTCAACTAGCTTTGTAGATTGTATTTGACTTTCATTTGATCCAAATAGGTTTGTTTGAATGTGTTTGACTTTCTTCTGATTCAATTAACTTTGTAGAATGTATTTCACTTACATTTGATTCAAATAGCTTTGTTTGAATGTGTTTGACTTTCATTTGATTCAATTAGCTTTGTAGAATGCATTTCACTTCCATTTGATTTAAATTGCTTTGTTTGAATTTGTTTGACTTTCATTTGATTCAATTAGGTTTATTTGAATGTGTTTGACTTTCATTTTATACAACTAGCTTTGTCGAATGTATTTGACTTTTATTTTATTTAAATAGCTTTGTTTGAATGTGTTTGACTTTAATTTGATTCAATATGCTTTATAGAATTCATTTCCCTTTCCTTTGATTTAAATAGCTTTGTTTGAACGTGTTTGACTTTCATTTGATTCAAATAGCTTTGTTTGATTGTGTTTGACTTTCATTTGATTCAATTAGCTTTGTAGAATGTATTTGATTTTCATTTGATTCAAATAGCTTTGTTTGAATGTGTTTGACTTTCATGTGATTCAATTAGCTTTGTAAAATGTATTTCACTTTCATTTGATTTAAATTGCTTTGTTTGAATGTGTTTGACTTTCATCTGATTCAATTAGCTTTGTAGATTGTATTTGACTTTCATTTGATTCAAATAGGTTTGTTAGAATGTGTTTGACTTTCATCTGATTCAATTAGCTTTGTAGAATGTATTTCAATTACATTTGATTCAAATAGCTTTGTTTGAATGTGTTTGACTTTCATTTGATTCAAATAGCTTTATTTCAATGTGTTTCACTTTCATTTGATACAATTAGCTTTGTACAATGTATTTGACTTTCATTTGATTCAAAAAGCTTTGTTTGAATGTGTTTGAATTTCATTTGATTCAATTAGATTTGTAGAATATATTTGACTTTCATTTGATGCAAATAGCTTTGTTTGAATGTGTTTGACTTTCATATGATTCAATTAGCTTTGTTTGAATGTGTTTGACTTTCATCTGATTCAATTAGCTTTGTAGAATATATTTGACTTTCATATGATGCAAATAGGTTTGTTTGAATTTGTTTGACTTTCATTTGATTCAAATAGCTTTATTTGAATGTGTTTCACTTTCATTTGATACAATTAGCTTTGTACAATGTATTTGACTTTCATTTGATTCAAAAAGCTTTGTTTGAATGTGTTTGAATTTCATTTGATTCAATTAGCTTTGTAGAATGTATTTGACTTTCATTTGATGCAAATAGCTTTGTTTGAATGTGTTTGACTTTCATATGATTCAATTAGCTTTGTTTGAATGTGTTTGACTTTCATCTGATTCAATTAGCTTTGTAGAATGTATTTCACTTACATTTGTTTCAAATAGCTTTGTTTGAATGTGTTTGACTTTCATTTGATTCAAATAGCTTTATTTGAATGTGTTTCACTTTCATTTGATACAATTAGCTTTGTACAATGTATTTGACTTTCATTTGATTCAAAAAGCTTTGTTTGAATGTGTTTGAATTTCATTTGATTCAATTAGATTTGTAGAATATATTTGACTTTCATTTGATGCAAATAGCTTTGTTTGAATGTGTTTGACTTTCATATGATTCAAATAGCTTTGTTTGAATGTGTTTGACTTTCATTTGATTCAAATAGCTTTGTTTGAATGTGTTTGACTTTCAATTGATTCAATTAGCTTTGTAGATTGTATTTGACTTTCATTTGATTCAAATAGCTTTGTTTGAATGTGTTTGACTTTCATTTGATTCGATTAGCTTTGTAGAATGCATTTCACTTCCATTTGATTTAAATTGCTTTGTTTGAATGTGTTTGACTTTCATTTGATTCAAATAGGTTTATTTGAATGTGTTTGACTTTCAATTGATACAATTAGCTTTGTCGAATGTATTTGACTTTTATTTTATTCAAATAGCTTTGTTTGAATGTGTTTGACTTTAATTTGATTCAATTAGCTTTATAGAATGCATTTCCCTTTCATTTGATTTAAATAGCTTTGTTTCAACGTGTTTGACTTTCATTTGATTCAAATAGCTTTGTTTGATTGTGTTTGACTTTCATTTGATTCAATTAGCTTTGTAGAATGTATTTGACTTTCATTTGATTCAAATAGCTTTGTTTGAATGTGTTTGACTTTCATGTGATTCAATTAGCTTTGTAGAATGTATTTCACTTTCATTTGATTTAAATTGCTTTGTTTGAATGTGTTTGACTTTCATCTGATTCAATTAGCTTTGTAGATTGTATTTGACTTTCATTTGATTCAAATAGGTTTGTTTGAATGTGTTTGACTTTCATCTAATTCAATTAGCTTTGTAGAATGTATTTCACTTACATTTGATTCAAATAGTTTTGTTTGAATGTGTTTGACATTCATTTGATTCAATTAGCTTTGTAGAATGCATTTCACTTCCATTTGATTTAAATTGCTTTGTTTGAATGTGTTTGACTTTCATTTGATTCAATTAGGTTTATTTGAATGCGTTTGACTTTCTGTTTATACAATTAGCTTTGTCGAATGTATTTGACTTTTATTTTATTCAAATAGCTTTGTTTGAATGTGTTTGACTTTAATTTGATTCAATAAGCTTTATAGAATGTATTTCCCTTTCAATTGATTTAAATAGCTTTGTTTGAACGTGTTTGACTTTCATTTGATTCAAATAGCTGTGTTTGATTGTGTTTGACTTTCATTTGATTTAATTAGCTTTGTAGAATGTATTTGACTTTCATTTGATTCAAATAGCTTTGTTTGAATGTGTTTGACTTTCATGTGATTCAATTAGCTTTGTAGAATGTATTTCACTTTCATTTGATTTAAATTGCTTTGTTTGAATGTGTTTGACTTTCATCTGATTCAATTAGCTTTGTAGAATGTATTTGACTTTTTTTTTTGGGTAAATAGAATTTTATTACCAAAGAAGCTGAAAACAGTAGAAATAAGGAATAAACACAACAGGCCAAAAAAGATAATAAAGCCTAAAGAGAAAAACAAACTGGCCAAGGCCTTGAACTGTCAGCCCACCTTCTACGAAGGGTTTTTGAAGTCCAAAAGACCAAGCAAGGCCCATCTGAATGCAGAGACCCAAAGCTACCCTCTAGGAGGGTCACTAAGGACCAAAGGAACAGGACAAACAACCTGAAAACAAGCTAAGCAAAACAGCACAAAGCTAAACAACAGTAATCAACCAGAAACAAGACAAAACCAGAACAGCAACAAGCAACTATCAAAACTAAGTAGGCACAGAGATCAAAGCCTGTCTGTCAGCCTCATTACACCTGCAGGAAACCCTGTAAACCACTGCCCTGAAAACAGTTTCAGCAGGCTCACAATTGCCATTGAACATAGTGTTGTTCCTCTGTATCCAAATGCTGTAAACAGTCTCTGCCAAGAACATCAGATGAAGCCTAGCATTTGAATTTGATCTTCTACCTCTCTTCATAGCCCAATCCATTTCCTGATCAAAGCCCTGAACAGACTTGTGACATTTGAGAAGTTGCAAAACCTTCTCCCAGATTCTCTTAGAATAGTTACAGAGAAAGAAAAGATGACGAGGAGTTTCATTTTCCTGTAAACACAGTAAACAAACAGGGTCATAAGTAGGATTCCATTTGAGAACTCTATCTTTAGTAAGCAGCCTGTTCCAAAGAGCCAGCCAAAGGATGAAGATGCTCCTTGGAGAGGCACCATTATTACATGTAAGTCTTTTCCAGGGGACCTTTGGAGCCTGTATCTTCAGTTTCTTATAGATCAGCTTGATTTGAACCCTGTTATTACTCATTACAGGATCCCATCCACCAATATCATCAATCAGCCCCCTATATTTCATAATTTTCCTAAGCACCCAGGAACTTTTCTTAGGAATATCAGCCTCCCAGAAACTGACTGACCTGAAATAGTAAATATGAACCCACTTAACCCAGAGAGAATCAGTTTTGTGAGCTATATCCCATAAGATCTTGCAGATAGCAGAGATATTCCAATCATGAAGAGAAATAATGTTCCAGCCTCCACATGATTTAGGCAAGCAAACAGTGCTCCAAGCAATAAGAGCTTTCTTAGAAGGATTAGCATTACCAGTCCACAAGAAAGCTTTAAATCTAGATTCAATCTCCTTCATAATCTTCTTAGGTAAAATAAAAATTTGAGCCCAATATGTTTGAATTCCAAAAAGAACACTCTTAATGAGCTGTAAACGACCAGCATAAGAGAGAAACTTTGAAGCCCACCCTTCAATTCTGCTAGTAATCTTGTTAACCAGAGGTTTGCATTGCTAAATAGTTAATTTCTTAGAAGAAAGGGGCACTCCAAGAAAGGGATAAAGCCTGCAACCATACCTAATCTACTCAAAAGAGCAGCCTGTAAATCAATGCCAACCCCTCCAAAATACACCTCACTCTTAAGCAAATTAGCCTCAAGACCAGAAGCTTTAGAAAACTTCTGAAAAGCTTTAAACAAAAGCTGAACAGAACACTCATCAGCTCTAGTAAACAACAACAGGTCATCTGCAAACATTAAGTGAGTAATAAGAAGCCTCTCACATCTAGGGTGAAAGTTAAAATCAGGTACAGTAGCCAAATCATGCAAGAATCTGGATAAATACTCCATTCCTATAGCAAAGAGGAAAGGAGACATGGGGTCACCTTGTCTCAGACCCTTCTGAGCTTTAAAAGGAACAGAAGGAGAGCCATTTATCAAAATAGAAAATGACACTGTAGAAATGCACACCATAATCCAATTAACAAACACAGAAGGAAAACCAAGCTCAAACATTACAGCCTTTAGAAAACTCCATTCAATGGAGTCATAAGCTTTTTTCAGATCAACCTTAATCATACATCTAGGGGTAATGTGCTTATGAGTATACCCTTTGATTAGCTCTGTAGCTAATAAGATGTTGTCTCCAATATGTTTACCAGGAATGAAACCTGCTTGAGCTTCATCAACAATATCTCCAACAACTTGAGCAAGCCTGGCAGTCAAGATCTTGGAGATAATCTTATAAAGAACAGTGCATCAAGCTATAGGTCTGAAATCCTTTACAAAAGAAGGATTCTGGATTTTAGGAACCAAGGTCAGAGTTGTACAATTCCACTGAGGATGCAAAGTTCCTATATCAAAAAAATCATGGACAGCTTCATAGATCTCAAGTTTAATAATGTCCAGGTATGCTTGAAAAATTTAGAGTTGAACCCATCAATACCAGGGGCTTTATCATAAGAGATGCTTTTGATTGCACAATCAATCTCAGAGTTAACCACAGGACTAATAAGCAAATTCTGAGCTTCTGCAGAAAGCTGTTTCCCAGCTCTCATGGTATTAAGATCAATAGCATCAAGGACAGAAGAGCTCGAACCCAGGAGAAGTTTATAAAAAGACACAATCTCTGCCTCAATATTAGCAGGAGTTTTAAGGAGCACATGGTGTTCATTATAAAAGAGAATCAATTCTGTTCCTAGCTTGCCTCTGTTTCATCATGGAGATAAATTACTTAGTGTTGGAGTCACCAAGTTTAACCCATTCCACCCTAGCTTTCTGTCTATAAATGCTCTCCTGAACAAATCTCCAATATTTGAGTTGTTGAATAGCAGTAGCCTCCTGAACCAGCAAGTCAGAATGAGGATCATTAGCCATTTGGTTCTGGACTTCCAAAACAGCCTGTTGAGCTAAATCAACTCTCATTTCAACATTACCATAAGCTTTGGTATTAAGCTCTTTAAGCTTAACCTTCAGATTCTTGCATTTTCTCCAAATTCTATTCATAGCATTACCCTGAAAACCTTCACTCCAAATTTCATCCACTATATTCATGAAATCAGGGTGAGTAAGCATATGATTAAGAAATCTAAAGGGCTTTCCCTTACAAGGAGCAGGAGGGAGAACCTCATACAATAGAGGAGCATGATCAGAAAGGGAGGGAGGAAGATAAACAGCTTCCACATTTGGAAATTGAAAGAGCCATTCACTATTAACCAAACCCCTATCAATTCTGGTTTGAGTTCTAGGGCTTGAGTGAGCCTTATTAGACCATAAGAAATAAGACCCTTTACTTTTGATCTCAGAAAAATTCATTTGATCAATAAAATCCTTGAAATCTCGAACTTCATAATCTGTTACTACATTTCCATGAACTCTATCTTCAGGTAACAAAACAGAATTAAAATCCCCAGTGCAAAGCCAGGGCATGGACACAGAACCAATAGCTCCAATACCTCTCCAAAGATCTTTCCGATCATGAATATTATGTAAACCATAAAAAAAAGACACAGTGATCTGAGTACTATAATCAAGAGTACTGATAATACAATGAATGAACTGAGCATGAACAGTAATAGCATCAACATGCACTCTATCATTCTTCCACCCCAACCAAATTCTACCTTTCCTAGACTCAGAATAATTACACATCCAGGACAAACCATGTGCAATCTTCCTCTGAATCCCAACACATTTCAACTATTTAACTCAAGTCTCAAGCAAGCAGATTATATCAGCATTAGTCCTATCAAGCAGCTGCCTAACATCAACCACTTTAGAGGGATCATTAAGACCCCTAATATTCCAAACATTGATAATCATTGAACTGGAGGGGGCCCACCCCCCTAGGCTTATATCTCAAGACAACATCATCATATTGCTCATCAGGTAAAATATCAAATTTATTAGTTGTAAGAACAGGCTTCACAGCTACAGCAGGTTCTTTACCTTTCTTTTTCATGATTTCCCATTCACCTGAAACTTTAGTTCCAGACCCTTGCTTCTGTTTTTGAACCCAAAACTTCTTCTGAACTTGGGCTACAGGATCAGGCTGATTATTTGAAAGAGGCTCATCACAATTATGTCCTGCCTTATTACATTTAACACAGAAGGGAGGAGTCTACTCATAAATCACCTTTAATTCCACTGTCTCACCTTTAGGACTTTCAACCCAGACAGACTTTGCTAGAGGTTTTGTAATGTCTATTTCCACAAGTAATCTAGCAAACGACACTCTTAGCTATCTTGAAGCGCATTCATCAGCACAAATTGGCAAACCCAAGGTGCTGCCAATTCGACTCAAAGTTTCAGCACCACAACAATTGAGAGGAAGATTGGGCAATTTGACCCACAATGGAACAGTGCGAAGAATTTCAGCACTGAAATCAAATTTTTCAGACCAGGGTTTAACAATAACTGGTTTCCCATAAAACATGTGAGGGCTTTCACACATAACAGAATTCAGATTATCTAGGGAACGCAGATTAATTATAAAATACTCCTCATCATGCCAATACACATCAGGATTATTATCAATACCCCATTCATTAACAATAAAACGCTTAATAGCTGCAATAGTAGGATAATACCCAACAACATATAGAACAATTGCATGACTCCACTTCCTATTTCCTTCCTCAATTTCAGCACTCGGCAAAACAACAATTGACTTACCATTTTTAATTTGCGGAGGTACAAAATTCTGGGCAAACCCTTTTGCAGTCAGCTTTCCAGTAAACCCTCGAACATTAGACAAATCTTGATCAATAACCTTAGGCATAGCTTCATTAGTGACAGGAGGTTGAGAATTTTGCAATACAAAAACCCACAAAAGGCCTAGAAGGGCTAGCAGCTTGTTTAGGCAATGGAACAGTAACTGGAGAAGTTACTGTTACATTGGTTTTGGGGCAAACCGAACCAAAACTTAAAACCAGCAATTCAGCATCTCTCCTAGAAATCATTCCTGCAGAAGGGTGGACAAGGCCAGGAGCAGGTGTGACAAGTTCATCTCCCTCATCAAACACCTCATGAACAGTCTGAATTCCAGCTGAAACAGGAACAAATAGTGACTCAGTGATTTCAGTTGTGAGCTTAGATGGGGCAGGAGTAGCTTGCTTCTTCTTTCTAGCCATAGAAATAGATTTAGGGACTAAAAACCAGCTAAATCAAGCACCATAGACATGGAAAAATGAAGCTTTCTCTCTCTAGGGTTTCACTTTCTCTCTCTAGGGTTTTGAGTTTTATTTGATTCTAATGTGTTTAGAATGTATTTGACTTTTTTTTTATTCAAATAGCTTTGTTTGAATGTGTTTGACTTTCATCTGATTCAATTAGCTCTGTAGAATATATTTCACTTTCATTTGATTCAAATAGCTTTGTTTGAATGTGTTCGACTTTCATGTGATTCAATTACCTTTGTAGAATGCATTTCACTTTCATTTGATTTAAATTGCTTTGTTTAAATTTGTTTGACTTTCTTTTGATTCAAATAGCTTTATTTGAATGTCTTTGACTTTCATTTGATACAATTAGCTTCGTAGAATGTATTTGACTTTAATTTTATTCAAATAGCTTTGTTTGAATGTGTTTGACTTTCATTTGATTCAATTAGCTTTGTAGAATAAATTTGACTTTAATTTGATGCAAATAAATTTGTTTGAAAGTGTTTGACTTTCATTTGATTTAAATAGATTTGTAGAATGCATTTCACTTTCATTTCATTTAAATAGCTTTGTTTGAACGTGTTTGACTTTCATTTGATTCAAATAACTTTGTTTGAATGTGTTTGACTTTCATTTGATTCAGTTAGCTTTGTAGAATGTATTTGACTTTCATTTGATCCAAATAGGGTTGTTTGAATGTGTTTGACTTTCATCTGATTCAATTAGCTTTGTAGAAAGTATTTGACTTTCATTTGATTCAAATAGCTTTGTTGGAATGAGTTTGACTTTTATGTGATTTAATTAGCTTTGTAGAATGCATTTCACTTTCATTTGATTTAAATTGCTTTGTTTGAATGTGTTTGACTTTCATTTGATCAAATAGCTTTATTTGAATGTGTTTGACTTTCATTTGATTTAAATTGCTTTGTTTGAATGTGTTTGACTTTCATTTGATTCAAATAGCTTTATTTGAATGTGTTTGACTTTTATTTGATTCAATTAGCTTTGTAGAATGCATTTCACTTTCATTTGATTTAAATAGCTTTGTTTGAACGTTTTGACTTTCATTTGATTCAAATAGCTTTGTTTGAATGTGTTTGACTTTCATTTGATTCAATTAGCTTTGTAGAATGTATTTGACTTTCATTTGATTCAAATAGCTTTGTTTTGAATGTGTTTGTCTTTCATGTGATTCAATTAGCTTTATAAAATGTATTTCACTTTCATTTGATTTAAATTGCTTTGTTTGAATGTGTTTGACTTTCATATTATTCAATTAGCTTTGTAGAATGTATTTGACTTTCATTTTATTACAATAGCTTTGTTTGAATGTTTTTTACTTTCATTAAATTCAATTAGCATTGTAGAATGTATTTGACTTTCATTTATTTCAAATTGCTTTGTTTCAATGTTTTTGACTTTCATTTGATTCAATTAGCTTTGTAGAATGTATTTAACTTTTATTTGATTTAATTAGCTTTGTTTGAATGTATTTGACTCTCATTTGATTCAAATAGCTTTATTTCAATGTGTTGGACTTTCATTTGATTCAATTAGCTTTGTAGAATTTATTTAACTTTCATTTGATTTAATTAGCTTTGTTTGAATGTATTTGACTCTCATTTGATTCAAATAGCTTTATTTGAATGTGTTTGACTTTCATTTGATTCAATTAGCTTTGTAGAATGTATTTGACTTTCAATTGATTCAAAAACCTTTGTTTGAATGTATTTGATTCATATTTGATTCAAATAACTTTGTTTGAATGTGTTTGACTTTCATTTGATTCAAATTGCTTTGTTTGAATGTGTTTGACTTTCATTTGATTCAATTAGCTTTGTACAGTGTATTAGACTTTCATTTGGTTCGAATAGCTTTGTTTAAATGTGTTTGACTATCATTTGATTCAATTAGCTTTTTAGAATGTATTTGACTTTCATTTGATTCAAATAGCTTTGTTTGATTGTGTTTGATTTTCATTTGATTCAATTTTCTTTGTAGAATGTATTTGACTTTCATTTGATTCAAATAGCTTTGTTTGAATGTGTTTGACTTTCATTTGATTCAATCAGCTTTATAGAATGTATTTGACTTTCATTTGATTCAAATAGCTGTGTTTGCATGTGTTTGACTTTCGTTTGATTCAATAGCTTTGTAGAATGTATTTGACTTTCATTTGATTCGAATAGCTTTGTTTGAATGTGTTTGACTTTCATTTGATTCAATTAGCTTTGTAGAATGTATTTGACTTTCATTTGATTTAAATAGCTTTGTTTGAATGTGTTTAACTCTCAATTGATTCAAATAGCTTTGTTTGAATGTGTTTGACTTTCATTTGATTCAAATAGCTTTGTTTGAATGTGTTTAACTCTCAATTGATTCAAATAGCTTTGTTTGAATGTGTTTGACTTTCATTTGATTCAAATAGCTTTGTTTTAATGTGTTTAAACTTTCATTTGATTCAATCAGCTTTATAGAATGTATTTGACTTTTATTTGATTTAATTAGCTTTGTTTGAATGTGTTTGACTCTCATTTGATTCAAATAACATTGTTTGAATGTTTTTTACTTCATTTGATTAAATTAACTTTATAGAATGCATTTCACTTTCATTTGATTTAAATAACTTTGTTTGAATGTGTTTGACTTTCATTTAATTCAAATAGCTTTGTTTGAATGTGTTTGACTTTCATTTGATTCAATTAGCTTTGCAGAATGTATTTGACTTTCATTTAATTCAAACAGCTTTGTGTGAATGTATTTGATTCATATTTGATTCAAATAACTTTGTTTGAATGTGTTTGACTTTCATTTGATTCAAATAGCTTTGTTTGAATGTGCTTGACTTTCATTTGATTCAATTAGCTTTGTAGAATGTATTAGACTTTCATTTGGTTCGAATAGCTTTGTTTGAATGTGTTTGACTATCATTTGATTAAATTAGCTTTGTAGAATGCATTTCACTTTCATTTGATTTTAAATAACTTTGTTTGAATGTGTTTGACTTTCATTTGATTTAAATTGCTTTGTTTAATTGTGTTTCACTTTCATTTGATTCAATTAGCTTTATAGAATGTATTTGACTTTCATTTGATTCAAATAGCTTTGTTTGAATGTGTTTAACTCTCAATTGATTCAAATAGCTTTGTTTGAATGTGTTTGACTTTCATTTGATTCAATTAGCTTTGTAGAATGCATTTGACTTTCATTTTATTCAAATAGCTTTGTTTGAATGTGTTTGACTTTCATTTGATTCAATTAGCATTGTAGAATGTATTTGACTTTCATTTGATTCAAATAGCTTTGTTTGAATGTGTTTGACTTTCATTTGATTCAATTAGTTTTGTAGAATGTATTTGACTTTCATTTGATACAAATAGCTTTGTTTGAATGTGTTTGACTTTCATTTGATTCAATTAGCTTTGTAGAATGTATTTTACTTTCATTTGATTCAAATAGCTTTGTTTGAATGTGTTTGACTTTCATTTGATTCAATTAGCTTTGTAGAATAAATTTGACTTTAATTTGATGCAAATAAATTTGTTTGAAATTGTTTGACTTTCATTTGATTTAAATGGATTTGTAGATTGCATTTCACTTTCATTTCTCTTAAATAGCTTTGTTTAAACGTGTTTGACTTTCAGTTGATTCAAATAGCTTTGTTTGAATGTGTTTGACTTTCATTTGATTCAATTAGCTTTATAGAATGTATTTGACTTTCATTTGATTCAAATAGGGTTGTTTGAATGTGTTTGACTTTCATCTGATTCAATTAGCTTTGTAGAATGTATTTGACTTTCATTTGATTCAAATAGCTTTGTTTGAATGAGTTTGACTTTTATGTGATTCAATTAGCTTTGTAGAATGCATTTCACTTTCATTTGATTTAAATTGCTTTGTTTGAATGTGTTTGAATTTCATTTGATCAAATAGCTTTATTTGAATGTGGTTGACTTTCATTTGATTTAAATTGCTTTGTTTGAATGTGTTTGACTTTCATTTGATTCAAATAGCTTTATTTGAATGTGTTTGACTTTTATTTGATTCAATTAGCTTTGTAGAATGCATTTCACTTTCATTTGAATTAAATAGCTTTATTTGAACGTGTTTGACTTTCATTTGATTCAAATAGCTTTGTTTGAATGTGTTTGACTTTCATGTGATTCAATTAGCTTTGTAAAATGTATTTCACTTGCATTTGATTTAAATTGATTTGTTTGAATGTGTTTGACTTTCATATTATTCAATTAGCTTTGTAGAATGTATTTGACTTTCATTTGATTCAAATAGCTTTGTTTGAATGTTTTTTACTTTCATTTGATTCAATTAGCTTTGTAGAATGTATTTGACTTTCATTTAATTCAAATAGCTTTGATTCAATGTGTTTGACTTTCATTTTATTCAATTAGCTTTGTAGAATGTATTTTACTTTTATTTGATTTAATTAGCTTTGTTTGAATGTATTTGACTCTCATTTGATTCAAATAGCTTTATTTGAATGTGTTTGACTTTCGTTTGATTCAATTAGCTTTGTAGAATGTATTTAACTTTTATTTGATTTAATTAGCTTTGTTTGAATGTATTTGACTCTCATTTGATTCAAATAGCTTTATTTGAA